TAAATGTTTTCTAATTACTAAATTTTATGTTTTTGATTGTGCAATGTGACAAATCTGCTATGCCCTACTTCTGCACATCTGATCTCACAGACATAACAGAATTAAAATACTTTTAGGTAAGGAGAATGCAATACGTTTCTGCCACCAAGTAGGTGAGGTTCAGACACATTACAAGTGTTTATGATTATATTTCAGTGATGTACACTGAAATATAATCATAAACATGACAGCATACTGGAACAGTTATGTTGAAGAAGAAAGCACACATCCTTTCAAGACTTGGACAATTTTTAAAAGCGTGGCCACTTTTTTATCTGCTTTGACATCAGGGAAGAACATGGGACATAGGAGTGCAGCAAGTTGTGCATTTATGACGTTCAGAAGCCATGCTGAACCTTGAAATAAAGGATGGCTAACACCAGAAGGATCTATTCTTGTGGCTCTTTACATGTAAATAATTGTCCTGCTGCATTTAGGGTTAAATTAGGGTGTGACAGCAATCTGGCTAATTTCCGTTTGAGAGAGGTACAGTAATTCAACCAGAAAGTTATAAAAGGATTACTGAGTTCAAGTTACATCATTTTCTTTTACTGAAAAAAAAAAGAAAACAAACCGCTGGAACTGAAAGTTATACAGTTTTTAAATCAATCTGTTGGGTCTTTTATCACTGCAGGTGGTTGCAGTCAGTTTCAGGGCCTCGCTGTGAGAAACCACAGTCGGTAAATACAAAATGAGTCGAACTGGCTGTGATCACATCACACATCGGTCAGGAAGCTCCTGTTACAAACGAACACTAGCAGAGACCTTTACCTAATTTCTGATTAAAGTTTCAGCCACGTTTTGAGGAAATTTTGCAGAAATATCAACTAAATGTTTGTGGTGTAGTTTTTTTTTTTGTTGTTTTGTTTGATTTTAGGACACAATCAACGCCAAAACCACTTGAAAAGCAAAGTCAATCTTTGACCAGCCCCCATAATAATAATAATAATAATAGTAATATCACCCCTGATAGCCTCGGCTCGATTGGGGACCAAAATTGTAACATGTTACATTTTCAGCTGGTGAGAGATCCTTTGAGGAACCTGATGCTCCTCCTTGCCTGTGGCACAGCACCAAGAACCACTGAAGGGGACAATGAGCACAATTTCCCTCTTCACAAAATGTAAATAAAAATGGAGTGTTGTGAGATTTTGTAAGCTGGAGGATCTCTCTTTTCTGACCACGAGTCATTTCTCCTGCTAGCACTTATTTTGGTTGTATTTACCCAGAATGCACTGCGCTTTTGTGCGCTTACTTCTTTTGGAGCAGTCTCCGGTCCATTGTATCCACACATGCATTTGAACAACACCAGAGTTCACTACAACCTAAGTTTGTAGGTGGACCAGAGTTCACTTTTTTGGTCCACGTCAGAGTTCAATTACACATTCACACCTTTCCGAACAAACTAGGTTGTAAGCAAAGTCTCTGGAACATTGTTAGAGCAGATCGCGAGTGGGCCATGAGCAAACCATCCATCAATCCACCGACTTTTGCATGTCTTATAAGCGGTCTCAGGGAAACCCAGAAATCTATTTCCAAGCATGTACTGGGTCTGCTCCCATTGAGATAAACCCAGCTAACTTCCTAATGTCACAATACACGGTGTGGTATGGTGAGGCAGACGCTTAGGATCCAGGTTGAAGTGAAGATTTTAATTATGTATTCCAAAAATATAAAGTCCAATAATCCAGGCAGCGCAGAGAGAGAGCGGAAGGCTAAGGCTCCTCAATTGGTAGCAACTGGAAAGCACGATGGACAAAACAAGCAAGACCATCCGACTAGACAGGACTAGAGATAAGACCAGACAGTTTCAACAAGGACCCGACAGGGAACAACAAACACAGGTGGGTATAAATACACAGAGCGTAATCACACCTGGGAACGATCAAAGGATAGACAGGACAACACAGAGACTCAATTAACTGAAAATGACACACCAAAACCTAACTTAACACAGAGAAAAACCAAATCCTTACACCTAATGAAGGTACTCAAGAGGCATCATGCTTGAATACTAAAATCCCCTCAGTTGAGTCCTTCTGATACTTAGAGCAGCGACTCTGACCTCCCCATCCGCCAATGAAGCTCCTCTCCTCATCTCTAAGGCTGAGAAAAAGCCAAGGACTCAACAAGTAGTAAACTGAAAAATGTTTGTCTGCTGATTCTTCAGGGTTAAGACATCTTCCTTAATCAACAAAAAATGGGTCAGCAAACACAAAAATGACCTTCTTCCATGAACATGTCAGTCACCAAACCTAATCCTAAAGAGCACAAGGCTGGATGGCTGCAACCTTAAAAAGGGTTGTAGGATAACAAGAAGGTAGTTCCCCATTGGCTGTTGAAAGTATTGACAGTAAGGATATCAAGTCTGGTTCCAATAATTTTGAAATTTTCCATATATTAACAAATATGTACAGTACCTATACATTTATTTTTTGAGAAGGGATAAATGTTCTCAAATTTCAAAAAGGCTCAAAAATCTATTTATAAACATCTTCTTCAAGTCTTTGGTTATCAAACCCTTAGTATGTCCATGTAACCCCATGCATTTCCTGTTTCTGCACAATGTCGAAAAAAGGAGCAATTGGAGTAATGTGCGAGGCCAAAAGCTCTCCAGCTCCATTCTCTCTCCTCATTGGCTTCTCACGTAGATAATGCTGGGCTGACTCAGCGGACTGCGAGTAATCACTAAGAGGTACATCAAATGACCACCTTTGAATGAATCGGCTCTTAAAGGGAGAGAAACTGGGTTTGAAAGAACTTGGCAAATTACTGTCATGTCAGCCAGTGACCCCCATCAAAAAGAAAATACCGGTTCAAGAGATCATCAAATGATAAGCCTCTTATGACTCAGTAAGAGGCGAGTTATCAATCATATGAGAATAATCAAACCACAGCACACCTCAACCTCATTTTGGGCTTGATTTTTCGAAACTCTTCTCTCCTCTCATCAATGTTTAAGCACATTATTTCTGCTCTCTGGGTGTACGGTATACACCGCATGTGTCCTCAATTTAAGAACCGGAACAATTAATGCCTTACATGTGGAGTGGTTTATTTTGCCTTCACGACAGTCTAAGTTAGGAAGTTGTTAGCAATTTTGTGTGATTTTCTTACTAGCCGACTTGTACTGTACTTGAAAAGTAGTTGCTGTTCAACAAAAGGCCTCAAATTGCAATTGACATCTTAATATCTGTGAGCATTTAAACATCCGTAAAGGACTGCTCAGATATAGTATTTGGTAAGAAAATCAACAACGCATCAAACCAACCACATAATGAGCTAATGACTCAGCTTGTTCTTATTTCAATGGCTGAGATGCAAAAAGGCTCCCAAAGAAAGAGTAATGGAAGAAAAGGACAGGATTCAGGAACCAATATTGTTATCCCAATATTCTGAATGGTATTGCAATTGCATTTTTCCCAGTATAGTTCAGTAAAAAAATGGTAAAAAAAAAAAAAAAAAAAAAAAGCCAATCTTAAGGATTTGGGACACCATAGAAAACTAAGCCAATTGCAAAATAAAGGTTCTGTCCTAGTGAAAGTATGTCAATTGGATTTTTTTTCCCTCAAATGAGTAAAATCAAAATTTCAAAACTCCATTTCATGTTTGCAGTTATTCTTTCTGCAGCCCTTTGTTTTATGTATTGAAGACATTAAATTAAAAAAATATATAAAAAGAGTTATTTAAACGACACTCTAATCATATTATCCTAAACATGAAGCTGTAAATCCAGAATCAGTCTTGGGATTTAAGATTCACATTTTTATAATATTTGCGAAAAATTTTCGAAACAACAAAAAGAATGAAAATTAAAAGAAGAGTCCTGTAAGCGCAGTTTAGCAACTCTAGATGATCATGAGCTTGGATTTATCAAATGTACTTTTCACAGACTGCCTTGATTCAAAATACTGCCAGACCAGACTAAGCCATGTTCATCTGTTTCCCCACTATAATGTAACTTCTACAGCCCCATATCTATACAGTTAAAAACAATGACTCGGTTGGTCGTGTTTTGTCAAACCAAAGAAAGAAAATCAGGAGTCTTACGACTGCTACCACTTGTACAAAGTATTTTTTACTAGGGATAAAAATATTACCGTTTGATTTCTGGTAGGGAAAGTCAGGGGTTCTTAAAAGCCGAGTCGTTTATCGCAGAGAGAGCCTGCTCAGCACGAGCAATTTTCAATCAGCAGGATTTTGTTTCGAAAGGCTTTTTGTCTCGATTTGCCTCAGATATAAACTAAACAGATCTAAAAAAAAAAGGACAATAACTACACACAGAGGCATGCACATTCAAGCAGAATAGACAAAATCCTATATAATCCTAAATTCACAGGCATTTTTACTTTAATACAGAATTTCCAATCTTTTTTTAATTTGCAACCACAAATTAAAAAAAAATAAAAAATGATGAGACTTATGGGATAGAAACAGCACCTGACAAATCATGGTGGTTGTCCTTTTGGAAGGTGAAATTCCTAGTCGCAAGGCTACTGGCCATCTCATTTTTAATGTTTCTATATATTTTTAATGTCTTCTGTTTTAGAAAGATAATTTATGGTAACATACTTTATTTAAAAAAAATTGTGGAATTTGGATGTTTATTTTGGTCAACTGAAGAAGGATTGTATCCTTGCAATATATATTTTTTAATACAACTTGGGTGGAGGCTTTATTTAAAAAAATTAAATGACATTTGATTCTGCACAGTACAGTATGTACTTGTTAAATATAAGCTGTGCTCATCACAAGTTGGTGAATTTATGAAAACAGTAATGTTCTTCTGTCTTACCTGTTTTTCTCTACAAAACAATGTTTGTATAGAAGAAATGTCATTAACTTGAGATTGGGATTTTACTGTAATACGGTTCAGATTTTTTTTTTTTTATACTTATTATAAATGGCTAAGTACATTAGAACTTTCTCCTTAAGCTTCAACATCGACAACAAATTCTTACCACATTCCAGAAGAGAGGGTTGAATATGATGGCAATCACTGCGATGGAAAGGTTTGGGTCATGAAAATTAATGTGTCTGATGAATTCTTCAATCGGCATCAAGTCCATCTGAAGAAACAAAACACAAATAACGGGATCATAAAAAACTACTTTTTCTTTTTTCTTCTTTTTTTTTTCTTTCTTTATTTGTTTAGCAGGAGAACATACATTCATTTTACATACATTTTGCAAAGCTTACATGACTTCTCCAATTTTGTATTATTTTTTCCCCATTTAACACATAGCAAACATAAATCCCCATACAGACATAACAAAAACAAAACCAAGTACGTATAATTACATTAAAAAAAACAAAAAAACAATTATAAAATAAAAAAAAATAAATAAAAAAATAAAAAAACAGAGGGCGTTTGAGGGGGGGTTGGACAGCCTCGAGAAGCAAAAAGCAACAACACTTTATTTGATTATTCTGCAGATTTTAGTCACATGACATGATGGGTCAGTCACATCAATCTATACATTGTAAAGGCAGAGATTTTATGTATGTCACAAAAGGTGCCCACTTGTGAGAGAATTTTGCTGAACTACCTTTCACTGTTAACAAAATCTTTTCTATCCTTAAGCATGATCTTACAGTATTAAGCCATAGTGAAGTAGATGGAGGTATAGGAGATTTCCAGCTAAGTATTTCTTTTTTCTTTTTAAACAAATGGGTAGATGTAGCTTAATGCCATAGCTAGAAACAGCATTAAGCAGCTGGGTTGGCCATTTACTTCATGCCCTGATTTTTCCCCATTGCACTTTATTAATTCAAGGCAACGTTTATTTGTTTAGCCCCGTTTACACACAAGGCTATTCAATTTGCCTTGCATAAGGGAAGAGGATGTGGAACAGGACACATATTACAGTTTTCGGACAGTACAAGTACATTTTCTTCCATTACCAAAAGCCTATTGATTAAGAGCCTTAACACATGTACAAAGCTACAATTTAACTTAAAAAGATCAGATAAACCTGCCAATCTCTACCTGCTGACAGTTGCTTTCGCTTAATGAATATATATTTTCCCTAAAGCCCTCGATTCATTAGTTAGCTTTTTTAAAGGTGAATTTGATTACGACATGTTTTAAAGTGAAAAATTAATGCTATAACCCACTGAGTAATGTTGAGGCAACAGACTTTACACCTGTCTGATTTAGACTTTCCATCTGATGCCTTGTTTCCACTAAGCAGTACGACACAGGTTAGTGACCTACATGGACCTGCAACTGAAGGTCCGTGTGGGACAATGGTACGGTATGTTTATTCATATTCTCAGTTAATGCAACAAATGTTCAGTCAGTGACAATATCTCAGTCTTGGCCTTTGACTAGAATTCTTGCCTTGGCCCAGCAAGGACAAGTGTGTATGGACCCCCGGATGGAAGCTTGAAAGGCATAAATGCTTTGAATTTAAAGTCAGATTTACTAAATCAAACTAATTTGCAACATTTTGCTGCTATAGGGCAAGAAGAAAAGAGGAAGAAATTAGATCTGTATCGTTTAAAATGGCCTATAATAATAGGCTGATCAAATTAGCTCATCTAACTAATGAGATTTGGGGCTACATAAAGGATGATCTACTGTTGAGACAAAGTGAGAGCAAAAACATAAGTGCTTTCGGTTGAGTGACTTTGGCTCTAGGGTGAATCATGTTTTGCTGTGCAACGCTGTCAAAGTTACTGCAAGCTCAACAAGGACTTGTAATTTCTCCCTGGCATGACTGAATACAAAAAAGGAATAAATGAGTTAAAATTCATTAGGATGTTTACAAAAGGGGAAAAACTGAACTGATTGTGGTTTCTTCTTTGATTCTGAGTTTGTGGGGAATGCCACTGAAATTAGCAAAAGGCTACACAAGTAAAAGCTCTATATTGACATTATGTAAAATCGGTTATTTTGCCTGGAGACAGCAAGCAGGAAAGCAAATCAGGAAAAAAACTGAAATACTTTTAAAGCTCAAGTAAATAATCACAATTGTCCAATTAATCAAGCTAAAAAGTAACCTTGCAGGGCAAAAAGTTATGCTGAACAGTTGGTCATAATAACTAACAGTTTTACATAAATGCCCTTTTCTTTTTCTTTTTAGAGTTTCAATGTTGTCAAGTAAAATGAAGCCAATACAAAGCCATTCTGAGTCAGAGGTGAAGTAAGAAGCTGCTTACGGATCCACACCAGAGGGGGCTCAAGGAAAACACCACCTCTGGTGGGCATAAGTTGTCTCTCCAACTTTAGCATATTTAGCAGTGAGTGGACAAGCCTGATTGACAGCACTAAGACCGACCTATTGGTTCTGATTGGTTGTTTTTGGTTGCATTACTTTAGCTAGCAATAGTAGCTCAGGGTGGAGGAGATTGATTGTTTTCACAGATTATCTGCCTCATAACAAACTGTCACAACATGGTGACAGCTTTAACAACTGTGGCGAAAACATATTTGTTATTAAAGTTATATACTGCAGCTTGAATAAAGTGCAACTACATAGCATTTACTGAGAAGTCTGGATTGCTTTACATGTATTTTGCATGTTGCCTATGCCTATGTCTCTCCCCACGACTCTTGCTCGTGGGGAGAGACATTTCAGGAATCTAAGCTAATAGAAAAAATGTAAGCGACCTACTTGCATACCTTATGAAGACTGTTGGATGTGAAATTCATAAGCAGTAAATATTGTCCTAGTGTCAGTATTGGACCATAGAAAGCAAGGCAGTTGCAAGCCTTTCAAATTGTGACGCTTTTGACATTGTAAAATTGTAAAGCAGCTGCATGGGAGGGCCCAATTCAATTTTTGTTACACGGGGCCAAGATTCCTGGCAGCGCCTCTGTGACCCAGAGTCAATAGTAGTTTTCAAGGTCTGAGATTCTTCATTGTTACTTCTTTGCTATTTTTGCATAAAACCTTCAATACAGTTCAGGGAAGGGAAAACATAACATTAAAAAGAGCAAAACATATAAAACAAACAAGCACTTTTGAAGAATAGTAGAATATGATGACCGCGTATTTGACCCAGACAGAACATTGCACAGCACATTTTACGGAAGGGTGGAACCTCCTTCAAGAATACGTCACATTATAATATAACGATGTGGACGTATCATTATTGCACATGTTTGAAATGAGTGTGAAGGGTGTCAAGCTGGTTTTCAGAGTCATGCTTTTATTTTGGAAAGGTCCTCCCCCCAGCTGTGTTCCGGTCGCACAGAAAATAAAACTGGAGGCAACGCTGCGCCTCAGCCTGCCTGCCTGCCTGCCGAGATTTACCTCGGAATAGTCGAGGTTGTTCAGACCTCCACAGCAGTCGAGCGGGACCGGCTGGTGGCTCTGTTCGGCGGCAGGTCGGGTTTCCCGCCCGGCGTCGCTGTCGCTCATTCACTCCCGCAGATACGTGGCAGAAAGCCGCGCTGTCAAAGAGACAAACGTTGCTCAATAACTAGGGAAAGGGTGCAGTGTAAACTGTAAGAAGAGGCTCGTGGCCTAGCTGCTATGCTATTCATGTCTGCATAACCTCTAACCCCGCTCGGTGCATTCTGGGTAATGTGGTTCAATGTTATTTTTTTTTTCTTTTCTTCTTCTTAAGGTGTTACATCTACGCATTTGGCCCGATTAAAGCCTGTTTCCTTTTTCACATATTATTGATGTTTATTGTAAACTTTAAGAAAAGTGAAGAATTCAGGTTGCATTAGTAAACAATAGAAAACCGAAGAAAAATGCTTAAACATAAATATATATATATCTCGGAAAATGGAATAAGTTTCCTCACCAGAAGGAAACTTATTCCTTCTGGTGAGATATTAGTTTGGACACTTTTAAATATTTTGAAGTAGCCTATAATGACAGACATGCATATGTAGCGGACGCACGTCACCAGAACAGTGTTCCTTGCGTGATTCTGAAAGAAGTGAGGCCTTCAAAAACAAGATGGTTGCAGCAGCTGTGAAGCATGAAGTTGGACATTTGGTGATGCAGACCATCTTCTGTGAATTCTACAGTGCAGTTAAACATTTTCTCCACTATATACTTTAATTATACAGTTTAATTATTTTTTTATTATTAATTAATTATTTGCTTTGGATTCAACTGCATCGTACTAAATAAATGCGTCACTGTACACGGAAAATGTTTTATGGTCTCGACCTTCCAGGTCTGGGTCTGTTTCGTTGTTTTCTGGACGATGATGATGTGGAGTCATGTCCTGCATTTACTTTTTCTCCTCTCCTCATTTCTCCTTCTCAGTCATCCAATTGTTTCTCGTCCACTTTTCATAGCTTACCTCCCCAGTTCTGTCGCCAGAATTTGTCTGTCCATCTGTTACCTGACCCCTTTTTCCACCTTTAATGGGGTTATTTTTCCTCTCGATTTCCACTTATTTTTCAATAGTTCCATGTTTTTTTTTTCTCCCAATAAAAATTTATTATTTGTTGACTCTTTTCCTCGCCGATTATTTCCTGTCTGCCCGGTGCACACTTGATGTCAGCTGTTATTTTGCTCTGACCTTCCCCCCTCTGTTACCTCCTGCCATTTGTTTGGAGCGAGTTGGATGAGTAGAAGACACCTCATGTGGAGGCAGGAACAGAGGCATATTCTGAAACCCTCCTTACTATGTGACCCAGCATAATGTTTCTTCATCAGGCCATCTGATCTGTTAAAAAAAACAAAACAAAAACAAAACGCATGAAGATTCTGAACGTATTTGGAGATTTGGTCTGCTTTCTTTCTTTGGTTCAGCTTGGATGCAAACACATCGACGACAACAACATAAAGAGACATTTTTCCAGTCTTACGCCTGTAGGATGTGTCACTGAAAGCAGATTAGCTTTCGACTTCAAAGGACAAACATTAGTCATGGTGATTGCATAATTAATTGCAAGGGGAAACTGTTGAATAAAGAAGAAAAATATGCCTTCAATATCGCCTGGCTATAACATCTGAAGAGACCATATTTAAGCCATGTTTATGCCTCTTGATGCTATCAGTGATGCCCAGAAGAAACTTTCATAGCAAACCAGGGCCGGCCAAAACCTTTTTTTTTGCGCCCTATGCAGATTTTAAATTCAGGCCTGATATTTCATAACAAAGCCTATTGATTTTTAAACTTACAAGAGTGGGAAACTAGTAAATATGTTCCAATTAATTTGCATGTTGAATGGCAAGATTGGTATTTAAGTGTGGGGTATTAATTTATTTGAAAGTAAAATCTGCAGACAAACACTAAATTTACAGTTAGCAAATTTCATATCTTTTTTAAATTTGGAGGAGATGTGTAAAATGTTCAAAACGTCCAATCTATAACCCTTTGCACATGATAGAAAAGTTCAAAACATACAAAATACTGTGGAGAACTTCTCTTTGAGGGTGTTTCCTCACATGTCATTTCCCTTAGTTTTAGCTTTGCAACTCACTAAAAGAGATAGAGGAAATTATTTATTCACAACAATGCATGCCTTAAGTATTTTAGGGTGTACTTATTATATTTTACAAACTGCTCCTTCTTGGCTTCATCTTTTATAAATCAAATATAACATGATGGAATTGGTGGTGTGCGGTATAAATCGCTTGGAAATGCATGTATTTTGTAAAATATTTGACAAAGTATGTAGACAAAGGTTTAAAGGTTTGAAGTGGTTGTTTTTGTTTTTTTGCTACAGCTATGTGCATTAATGTGTGGGTGTCTACAAACACTAAATGACTGGATGATTTTGTTTTGCTAAATTAATTAGAAAGTAAACTTTCTCACATGTTTTCCTTTTGCTTTCAAGCATCCAGCATCTTGAGGAGAGGGAAGTGTCTCCATAGTATAGTATAAAATAGCCTTTATTGTCCCACAGAGGGGAAATTCAACAGCAGGATAAGGTATAAAAAGTTCACACAAAAATAATTAAAAAAAACAATTATATCCATAACAATGACAATAGCAATTATAATAATAATAATAATACAAGTTCATGACTAAAACAGAAAATAATGTGGAGTTATCACAAAATTGCTGGACTGTGTTGCATATCCAACAAATGCACATAAACCCAATAACATTTTATGATAACTTGAAACATGGCTGGTGAATGATGGCAAAACGAAGCTCTGTGTCATGAGTGCACATCAACTGAAAACAGTTGAGTAAAAATCACAGCAATTTAGGTCAACTTAATTATTTCTAGCGATGTGATGCTAAACTGGAAAAATGGTGGCTTGAAAATAAAAAAGTGAAGAGTCCTTATCGACACAACTTTAGCCACAAGAGACAATGTGTCCATATTTGTGCAACAGTTATAAAGAAACAATAAAAGAGTAGTTGAGGTGAAAATAACTGGTTTCTATAGTAATGCATTGGTTTTCCTTTTTAAGCTGTTTATGTTTCTGCAATAAAAAAAAAAATCCATCATCAATCCATCCATGCAGCCATATTTAGCTGCATAAATCTATTTTCTTCCTCCTTATCCAATCATCCACCCAGTTACAGAACTACCAATAAGACATTCATGTGTTTCATAATTCACTCACACATCCACTGTTATAAATCATGACTAGTTTTTTTTTTTCTCCCCTCCCCCATTACTGATTGGTCTGCTGAGCGACGTCCTGCCTGATAACGCAGGACAGGAAATTGGCCAGTGGTGTAAATGTGAAGCAAACAAGACCAATAATCGTCCAACTCTGCGTCTCGGTCATTCCTACCACTGCTGTCGTCAGCGCCAGCGGTTCAGTACTGTACACCTCGTCCATTCATCTGTTGCAATCATGAGCTGATCTAACTGTATTCGACGCATCAGCCTTCCCCGTCTTCCCCCCTCTTGACTGGCACAGGCAGACTAGCAGTTGCATCAGGCAACAAGATGTCCTGATGCAGTGGGCGTGTTCTGCTGCTCAGCATCACGGGCATTAGAGGAGTCCTGACGTTGTTGTGCCGGTACATGTGCACGACCTTTCACTCTGCAGGTTACCAAACAGTCGGAGCTGAATCAGGTTTGAGCTGGTATGGCCCAGTCGTGTTCTGATAAAATATATTAAAAGCGCTTAATTAGGTTTGCGATAAGGCCCAGGACTGGGGCAGGACAGCAGCAGTGATGAGATTCTCATAAATGAGGACGAAGACAATTCCAAGTATGATGCAGGACTGGAGCTCCAAAGGATTTTTTTAAATCAAAAAATAAAGTTTCAAATACCACTGAAGTAACAAATACAGTCAATAAATAACTACTTAGGCACACAGGTGAACTGTGCTAGAGGAAGAACGGTGTATTTGAGTACAATTGGTGAATTAATAAGGACAGTCAAAGTCAAGCAGGTGAACATCCCTTCATTTTCAGTCCTGTTTACTTTGATACCCGGTAATAAAATTCAGACAAACGACTGTCTTCAGAACTCAATGAGTGAACACTGGACATGTATGTAATTAAGGGTGCATTACTGCTGCTGGTTCTATGAATACTGTGCAGAACTTTGGTGCAGTTTCCATAGGACTTTATGAATTAAACTGATATTGACCAGCCCTGTTTACTTCACATTAATCAAAGCATTTGTTTGTCTAAAGTCCATGTTTGTTTGGAAAGGTGCGAATGCATGGTCCATCTCTGACGCAGACCAAAAAAAAAAGCAAACTCTAGTCCACCAAAAGAAACTCTGGCCTTGGTTCGGCTGGAGTGAATTTTGGCACGGCTTGTGAACGTCAAGCAGGAAGCGGACTACAGTGGAGGGCATTGTGGGTAAATGCAAATAAAACAAAAGTGCAACTCTATAGCGAGCAGCAAAAAAATGGATCATCATCTTTTGCAAAAATCTAAAGAGAAGCCCTATGACCACTAAAATTCATACTGCTGTAGGGACGTGTGTTTTGCGTTTAGTTCCTGTGTTGTTGCGTTTCTCCCCTTGTTCCCAACTGTCCCATTTCACTGCTACTATTATTTAATATGGAATGTGTCCTTAAAGTTTTCACCAGCCTTCAAAAAGCTCGGCTCATGTTGTGCACAGTCACACCTCTTCCTGTCATCCGTTCCCGCCTCAGACAGTTTTCCTCCTTGCTTCCCGTCCTGCCATTATGGCGCAAATGAGGCGCGCGGCGATTAAACACCGCGTGTAAACACTGGGTTGCTATGGTTGCGGATCGAAACTTTGTGGTGATTCCCGCGTGAGCGTCACTGCAGGTTGATGGGAAACGGCGTTCTCGTGCAGATCATTAACTGTGCAATTAAGACGGAAAGAAAGAGAGAGAGAGAGAGAGATGCCAGAGCGACACTGAAGAAGAAGCCACTTGTTGATTACTAGCAGTAACTTAATATCGCTGCCTGTCGAAGGTTCCATTGAAGGAAATTTAATTGTGAATGATCTACAAATAGATCCCGGGTCACGTTGTCACCAGTCCTTGTTATGCCATGACAACTTGAGTTTGACCTTTAACCTCCAAAGGTCCCATTAAAAATATCCCACACCTATCAGTGAATGAATGCCTCCCTATCAAAAGTGAGATTGACAGAGGAGGAGGCTCACTGGCTCCGCCCTCCCACATCGTCACCGGG